AGTATGAAGCTTGTATAAATGATTTAAAATTTACAATGACTATTATTTTTAATGAGCAACGAAGAATTGATAATAAATTTTAATATATACTTTTGCTGAAATGATTAAGGTATTGTAAATTTTTTTTTATTGTGGCAAACTTGTAAGAGACTAATCAATCCCTCTCAATAGTACAACACATTTCAGAAAGATTAGTTATTGCTATTTGATACGTAATTTTAATAAAAAGTTTAAACTAATAAATTTAGGGTACAAAAGTATCTCTTTATCAAGAGATATGTTATATTAAAAATCAATTTGAAAAAACCAAAGTTTCAATCTGCCAACTCGATCTAACTTTGCTAAAGAATCCATCACTTGATTGCAAATCAGATCGTCATAGTAAATTAAAACAAATAGTAAAAAAGGTCTATAAATATTTCATTGAAGTAGCATGCAAATCACATAATAATGGATCAAAGGTTTTGCCACAAATTATTAATTTTGGAAAAATTGAATCAATATCAATATATTGAAAAATTTTATGAAGTTTCCAAAGTTAATAGTAAAGAAGTTATGGTTTTTAAGTGAGCTAAAATGAGTAATTTGAAAGAGGTCTATAACAAAGAACATATTTCTTGAAATTTAAAAGCCTAAACTTTGTTTGAAATTTGCAAACAGATTATATTTTGGACTCTATTGGCATTTTTCATAATATATTCAATGTGAGAATATAATGATAGAATATTTAAATATATATATATTTGTATAATTTATATTTATCAAGTTTGATGTATGACTAGTGTTGCAGGTTAATCTATAACTTTTGTCACAAAATAACCTAGACCAAATAGCAAGCACTTAATTATTTTGCTATAACCGATTCTTAGTTTATATTAAGGCAAGTATTTTGTTTACTACTCTAATGAACTTTATTAATTAATTAAGAAAGACAGATTCTAACTACTACTCTATTATTACAATTGCTTCCTATATACATATTTCAGGTCACATTACTTACATCATAATTTGCTCATACGTAGTGTTGGAGGCATGGTGTTTTAGAGGAGTGGTGCTTATTTCACCAACAATCACTTCACCGACATCTTAGTTCACTGACAATTAATTCACCAACAAGTTCATTTCACTGACAATTAATTCACCGACAGCTCATTTTACAGACAAAGTAATTCTGGTCATTAACATTAAAGTCAGGCTAAAATTAGAGTTAATGTTAGTGCTATTTCTAAAAAATTTGTTGGTAAAATGAACTTGTTAGTGAATTAATTGTCATTGAAATGAGCTTGTTGGTGAATTAATTGTTGGTAAACTAAGATATTAGTAAAGTGATTGTCAGTGAAATAATATGTATCTGTTTTAGAGTATGCCTTAGAGGCATGCCCTTTTTCAAAAAATTTATATATAAAAAAATTGGTATACAAAAATTTTTAGTGATATGCCTATGGGGCATGCCTTTAAAATTAAAAAATCAGAGATATTTTCAGGGCATGCCCAAAAATTTTGCTATGCTCTCAACCCTACTTATACAATCATATGATCATTTGACTCTTATATTACTACATAAATTTACTTAATATTTTATGCATACTGAGGATCTTACTTTTATATACTATTATATAATACCAATGGTTGCATAATTAATTATTACTCGATCTGATTGATTACTTGCTCATCGCATACATCATATGCACAAGATAACGATTGATTGTTCTTTTTATATTTATTCCTATACAAGTTTACTATATACTGTATATTACTATGATACAAGCTAGAGCTTCAGAAATTTTGTTCTAAGAGTTTCCATTATAAACAGAATCTATCCTTCAATATAATTTGCAAAACTAATCTCCACATTCTCATAATTCTCTACAAGTTCTCTAGCAAGACTTTTCCATGATCGAATATTCTTCTAATTCAGATTTCAAGTAAGTGTTTATCTTTTTTATGTTCTTTCTTTTTCTTTAAGCTTTTCTCATTATTCTTAATAGTTTTACCAATCTTTGTTTTCTCTTTATCATTTGCATAATCATTTCCTACTTGATTCATTATCTCTTCATCAATATTGTTTTTTACTTTTACTTTTTTACCTTTTACTCTATTATTCTCTAAATCATATGCCCTATTTCTAACATCTAATCTGCCCTTCTCATTTCTTTCAATTTTTATTACCAATTCATAAACATGATCAAGATATTCATCACAGTAAGATATTTCATCATGAAATTCATATTCATGACAGTAAGTATATTTCTTTTTTCATCATACTCTCTAATATTTTCTATTTTGATCCTAATAATTTTGCTCTACTATTGGGAGCTTTATCTCCTTTATTATTATCTTTAATCCCACATCTCATTGGATCATTATTATTATTCATTACTAGATTATTATTTTTGATACCAATCTCTTCTATATCCTTATTAAGTGCAACCATGGGATTTTTACTATCAAATCTCTTCAGCATATTTTCAATATTAATTATCTCAAAAGGTATATTGAATATTGGATTACAAATCCCTTACACAAACTTAAATAAAAATTCGTGCATCATAAAATCGCCCATATCTCAATAATTTATTAAAGAAACA